CCCCTTCTACAATATACACTGCACATGTCCTGGGAAAAATGCACATTCCTTCCATAGTTTAACTTCTATTACATCAGCCATATCAATTTTTGCACGAGGTGTAACAGTTTCTTTGTGCTCACAGAGTTTTCATGTACCTTTATCAAAGTGACAGTCTGATTACTCAGAGCCACCTTAAGTTTCTAATGTTGCTTTTTTTGTTTTGTGCACCTCACCCCTGCTGTTCCTCCAGAGGGGCACTGTCTTTTTTAATTTCTTATTCTTTTACTACAGCTCTTATCTGCTATTTTGTTACCAAAAAACAAATCCAGAATCTCTTGCCATTCTCCTGGGTTTGACTGCCCTGCTGCAGCCTCGACTTTGGTTTTTAAAAGATATTGAACTTTATAAAGCATTGAGGTACCTTAAGGGTTAAATGCAAAATACCAAAGACAAACAACACCAGTTACCTGTGTCTGGCAAAGTGTATCAGTTTTGCAACTTTGAATAAAAGATTCAAATGGATTTTCAGTGGTATTATTTAAAAACAAAAACCAAATTACCTTAAACCTACAAAACATGGTTTTTACAAGCCAGGAGTGTTGATTTAGGTCCTTAAAACCTCACATTTTCACAATATATTTACACACACACACAGATACATACATACTCTTTTGCTTAACATCCTTACACTGCTTTAATTTTTTACACAGCTGTACATAGATTACATTTGTATACATTTTGGGGGCAGTTCAGTTCCAATAGAAACCCCTTATGTTCTTTTAGCGAATTTGACTAAATTGTTTATAGTTAAATGATTTAAATCAGATTGTCTTTTTGCCTGGTTTATTTATAGACATTCCTTTGGAAAAGGGCCCATTTTTCTTTCAGAATGGCTGCAAAGAAACCAAGAATTCCCTTTCTATAACACTTTTTTTCTTTTTAACATTTTTATAACGTACAACTGCTTAATTCCCTCCAAGCCTCTGCAGAGTTAACTTCTCACTCTCATTCCTTAAATCACTTGCTTATCTTCCAAAATGGAGCCTAGATATCACCATTCCAACTATTGTCCCAGGGATCTGAAATCCTCATGCCTTTACTTACAGCTTCCCTTACTCCTGCCACTGTGCCCCTCAGGGCTTCCAACCTGTTCACTAATCTTTTTTCATCTGTTACCTGCCTGCTTGTCTGGGCCCGATCCTGCTTTCTTTGCTGAACCGTCCCTACCCATGGGCAAACGCTTTGTCCCACTAAACATTTAGCGAGGAGGGTGGGCTCCTCAATTAGCCCCCACACCTCCTGCTCCCTTTTCTTAAACATTTTTCTTAAAATTGTGAAATCACAACAATATCCCACACTCCTATATCCTTCAGAGTGAGGTCTTACAGAAATCTACTCCTTATTTGCCCATGCTTGTGCTGGGACTTACAAAACACAAAGTCTATAGCCACTAAACTCTGCCTGACAGAGCAGGAGGGGGGGGAACACTAAGCCCCCTACCTTTTGGGCTCGACCCTCCTATGACTGAGGGTATATTCATCTATGCAATTTTTCTCTGACAGATGAGTAGGAGCAAGGACTCTAATCCTCCCACTTATGGCCCTGCACCTCTACAACCAGTGGTGTATATACCCAGACAGTTTGTCTCTTTATTTGTATAGTTTTCCCCAACAGACAGGTGGGAGCAATGGCTCTAATCCTCCCCATTATGGCCCGGCACCACCACGACCGGCGGTGTGCACCCCTGAATGATCGATCACTTTATACGGATGGGATACCTTTTAGCAATATTTAGCAGTATTTTCAACAATCACAGTGCATGTCTTTCACCCTTTTCCAGTTCTCCACCAAAAATGTTACGCTTATAAGAAGCGCACAGGATCTTTTTCAGGGGAAAAGGCAATACGCCGCATTTATTGAAGATACAACAATTAGCATATGCATTTAATCACAGCACACACACACACATTGTCCCGCCAGTCGATGTTATAGTTACCAATCCAGAGTCCAGATCAATGTAGTGGCCAGCTAGATTGCTTACTGTAGGGAGGAGCCGGGTTCTGTCAGTTGTGACGCGATGCTCTGGGGAAGTCTTGGCAGGACGAACCCAAAGTTTCATGGCAAGGCCCCCTGCTTATAGTGATTTTCCTTCATTGGGACCAATGAGTTTTGCACTGTCATGCTGTAATCAATTGTTGTTTGACAAGTGCTTGTTTTCTTGAATTGTCCTTCTCATCCTTTATCTAGTTCTTTCATTAAGTCTCTCAGGGAGTTACCCCAGGCCGGTTTTGATCACAGCTATCTTGTCCCCATTGATAGGTGCCTGTCTCATCTTTAGAGTCAGCAATCTGCCCTCCTCTGACATTTCAATAGGGGTGTGTTGCAGCCTCCTGGTGCCCTTGCGTCTGTCTCTGGTTCCTCCCTAGAACATTATAAGCAGCAGGCATAGAGATCAAAGTTGGTTACTTAAGAAATAACAATAAATTCGCAGTCTGAGTTCGACAAACTAAATAGGGTTCAAATCAAGCAGCGTCTCACCCTGGCCGATGGTCCAAACAATTCCTCCTGGGATCACTCTTCCCCAGGTCAAAGTGTTCATTCTCCAGATATTGAGTTGGGGGAGGGGGACAGAGGCCAAGTGATGATGTCACTCCCCTTCTTATATAATTTCTTCCAGCTTGCTAGAAAGATCCTTTTCTGTGATGTGGGGATCAAGCAGTCTCTGGGATAGGGGATCCTTTCCTTGATGGGTGTTGATGAGCTACTGACACTGTCTGGCTGTTCTGTGTGTAGTGTGGTGCCTGCCAGAGGTTTGGAGCTTGATAGCAGCATCACAGTGTGTAGGCCAGTCCTGGTTGGTGTGTTTGGGAGGGCTCTGTGGTCCCACAGTCCAGATTGCACCCCGGGGACTAAGTCACAGGTGGTCACTATTGTCTTTCCATGTTTCACGCCCTCCCACCATTGCCCTCACCCTGGTGGGCTCTGCTCTTCTACTCCTCTCCCCGTGGCCCTGTATGTCGCCAAGGAAGGAAGCAGAAAGCATAGGGTTCCCCTCCAGCAGATGCCCCATTATGCTGTCATCCAAGGAGAAGCCTCCCCAGATGCTATCGGCAGAGGGAGACCAGACTCAAGGCAGCTTCCCAGCCTGGCCATGCCCAAGCATTGCCAGGAAATGAAGGAAACAGGATGGCGATTATAGGCATTGCTGCGCTGGCTAGGCTATAAAATACCAGAAATGGTGAATTTTGCTGCTCCTCACCCCCCAGGCCATGAGATAAGTGTTGTCTAAGCCTTTTCAAACTCCTTGTTATCTCAGTCTGTTTATAGATCCTCACACACCTGTGTTTGTTCCTCAGCCCCACCTCTGCTGGGAATCACAGAGCAACTGATTTCAGGGAAAGCAGAACTGAAAGGATCCGATCTGAGCTGTCCATACCGGGTGCACCTGGGCAGTCACTGAACCACTCTCTCGCGCAGCCAAAGAGTGGGGTCGGATTGCGATGTCCTGGAATGAGGATCAATTAGATCCACTGTGGCAACCCTAACAATGGACTAAACGACCCAGTAAATGGCACCTTCTGATCAAGCTAGTCTCCTGGCACCCGTGTGAATGATGCTCTTGTGACAGAGGGGCTTGTTCTGCTTCAGCTGAATCCCTGTCCCAAGAGACACGAGCTGTTGTTGACCCTTTTTGACCTGAGCAGCTAGTCAAAGGTCGGGGCCCTGGGGATGTCCCAGCTGGACAGGGAAATTGCTGGAGTCTACTGTCTTCTTTGCTGCCGTCTGGTTTATTTACAAGGAACATATGAATCCTGCTTTTCCAAACCCAGGAGAACCAAGAACAGAAGGAGTTTTCTTAGTTTCCAGTCCCCATACTTGTCAGCTATACTTACAGGGTGGGGGACTCTATCCTGGGAAGCAGTGACTCTAAAAGAGATTTGTGACTGGTGGTGGATAATCAGCTGAACATCAGCTCCCATTGCGACGCTGTGGCCAAAACAGTTAATGTGATCCTGGGATGCATAAAAATGAGAGCATAAAAAATCTTGAGTAGGAGCAGAGGTTATTTTACATCTGTATTTGGCCCTGCTGAGACTGCTGCTGGAATCCTGTGTCCAGTTCTGGTGCCCACAATTCAAGAAGGATGTCAATAAATTAGAGGGTTCAGAGAAGAGCCAGGAGAATGCTCAAAGGATTAGAAAACCTGCCTTAGAGTGATAGACTCAAAGAGCTCAAATGATTTAGCTTAATAAGAGAAGGTTATGGGGTGACTTGATTACATTCTTTAAATACCTACATGGAGAACAAATATTTAATAATGGGCTCTTCAGTCTATCAGAGAAAGGTCTAACACAATCCTATGGCTGCAAGTTGAAGCTAGACACATTCAGACTCAAAATAAGGTGTGAATTTTTTACAGTGAGAGTAATTAACCAATGGAACCATTTACAAAGGATTGTGCTGGTCTTCCATCACTAACGATTTTTACATCAAGTTGGCCAGTTTTTCTAAAAGATCTTCCCTAGTTCTCTGGCTTGTGTTTATACAAGAGGTCAGACTAGATTATCACAATGTTCCCTTCTCATTTTAGAATCTATGAACCCCCCCCCCCATGATAATCTTAGCTTTCCTGGAGCACTGTCCTTGGCTATCTGTTCTTGACACAATCGATTGCCAATGAAACGGGGAGGAGAAAATCACCATGTGCCTCCCCATATTAACCTTGATCATTGCACGTTTTATGTTTGGTTTTCCAGGAAACCTATAAGAGGCAATTCCAGGAAAAGCAGAATGAGACTGGTCACACCCTTTTCTGTGCTGAATTCAGCCATGTTTGTTGCCTTGAATGGCTCATCAGGGGATCGGTCAGATCTGTTATCTGTAGATCTGGGGAGGGTGGAGGCAGGAGGTTCTGTCTATAAAAACCTGCCCCAGTGTGTTCGTTTCCCAGCTGGGCTTTGGTCAGAGTGCTGGAGGCAGCTGGATTTGGCTAAGACAGGACCAGGCGAGGCTGGATCATGGGGCATCTCTACTCCTCACTAGCCATAGCACTTCTGGTGATGAGCCTGGTGCAGGGTGAGTGTGGGGTGCAGTGGAGATGGGAGACTGGGCCCTACCTGCCATGGGGAGGGGAGAGAGAAACTGGCTTGTGGGGGAGGGAATTGGGCTATTGAATAACAGGGGGATCCAACCCCTTCACCATTCATAGACCCCCCCCCATCTAGCCCCAATTTCTGCATTCACTCATAGAATCATAGAATATCAGAGTTGGAAGGGACCTCAAGAGGTCATCTAGTCCAACCCCCTGCTCAAAGCAGGACCAATTCCCAGCTAAATCATCCCAGCCAGGGCTTTGTCAAGCCGGGCCTTAAAAACCTCCAAGGAAGGAGACTCCACCACCTCCCTAGGTAACGCATTCCAGTGTTACACCACCCTCCTAGTAAAATAGTTTTTCCTGATATCCAACCTGGACCTCCCCCACTGCAACTTGAGACCATTGCTCCTTGTTCTGTCATCTGCCACCACTGAGAACAGCCGAGCTCCATCCTCTTTGGAACCCCCCTTCAGGTAGTTGAAGGCTGCTATCAAATCCCCCCTCACTCTTCTCCTCTGCAGACTAAACAATCCCATTTCCCTCAGCCTCT